CTCAGGTTGCTGAGGCTCCTTCCAGCTCTAGGTGCTCTCATTGGCCAAGGGGCCAACTGGGACCAGCCCAAGGGAAGCTCCATGTTGGAGAGGAGGAGGAGCGGCAATTGGCGATTTTAGATTCCCAGGGGAACCCACTCATCAGGGACAGCTCCTTCCCTGTTGAACTAGAAGAGTGAGTGGGGCCAGCATGATTCCCAGGAAGCATCAGAAGGGATGGCCAATGAGAAGGGAGGAGGCCAAGGCCAGGAACAAACTCCTCATGTGTTGGTAGCCATTTGGAGCCAGCAGCAGCAGGGGGAGGGATGGAATGCCACCAGGCCAAGACCTCGTGTGCTCCTCCAGGGAGATGACACAGCAGCCCAGAAGCAAAACCCACAAGCCAGTGCCCAGCATTTTCTGGTCTCAGGACATCGCTGCAGAAAGTTGGAGGGAAGCAAGTTCTTTCCAGGTATTCTCTCTCCCTCCACCCAGGATGGCTCAATTCACCACATCTTTTCATGGCTGGATTTTAAAATCACACTCCTCTTTGGAATCTCGGTGTTCCAGCAAACTTTGCTTCCTTTATATAATCATTAGACACAGATTTAAGACTATACAGTGGTCCCATCTAGTTCAAGCCATACCTGATAGAGAATTTCTGAGAGTCCAGGTGTTTTTCCTTCCTTCTTGACCAATCATCATCCCCTCCTGTATTTGCACTGGAGGGGTCCTGCTGAAATCCTCTTCTACCAGGCTTAGCTGGGCTTCTACTTCCTCCAGGAAGCCTTTCTGGATGTCCCCCTCCCCAGCTGCCAGCCTCCTCCTCAGATTGTCTTAGAACCTTTTGTCTCAAAATTTCCTTGGACCTTTGCATTTCCTACATTGTATTAGTTTTATTGGGGTATGTGGGGTGTTAGGGGAAAACTGGTACCTCTGGTGTGAGGGCTACTTGGCCCTTTTCAAGGCTGCTTTCCACTTTTGTTGTTTACCTGCCACCCAACTCTCACCTGCAGCTCCAAGTTGCTATAGCATGCATAGCAGCCACATTCTGGGAAAACTTTCTGCATATGGGTTAAACCAGGTTGAGGATAACCTATGGACCTTACACCCCCTGGTGACTTGGAGGTGGGGGTCTACTCCAAGCATGTAAATATTTCCCCAGTGGAACAATTTGTCCCAACAGGCCATGAAGGCAGTGGGAGCAGGCACTGTGGAGCACTTTGAACTTGGTTGGACATTAAAGATGCCAAGGTCATTCACTGCATCCTGAGCCATCACCAGTTGCTGAACCAGTTGAACTCTTTTCTGTGGGGATGTGGCACATTCTGGACTCTCTCTGTTCCCTAGGTAAGGAACTTAGGGAAACTTGTCAGCCACAACTGAGAAAGGCATTGGAGGGACAGTATGGTCCAAGGAAAGGGCAGCACTTCCCACACACTCCTAATTGTGCTCTTCTGTTGCTGCTATTTGGTATCTGGTGTCAAAAATGAGGACAATGTGGAGATCAGTGTCATTGAGGGTGAGATTGGGGAAGAACAGGAAGCCATCAGGGAGCACCCTCTCCTGACTGCTTGCTAGCATCCACTCTTTAGTCTGAATAAGGTAGATGAAAATTAGGTTCAAAGGTACCAGAAACAGCTGTGAGCTTCTGCTGAGAACCCTGGAATGGTCAAGATGACATTGTGTCCCATTGAGTTGGCTTGGCATAAGACTGAAGGGAGCACCCTGGGTAGATGTGGGCTGGATCCAGTAGCTGAGGATGGAGCCTGAGGGGAGAGGAAGGAGGCAGAGGTCAGCAGGATCCCCTTGTCCTCCTGAGTTGCCAAGGTCACTGAGCTGTCCCCAGGGATTGGGTGGGTGCTGCTAAGCCTGCCTCAATTTAAGTTCCTTCCATGAACTTGATTCAGAAAGGAACTGCTGGTGTAGTAGGCAAGATATTGAAGGGAGAGATGAATCAATGAAGTGTCATGACTGAGGCCAGCAGGAAGGGCTTAGAGTTGGACAGGACCTTGGGGATCACAAAATCAAATGCCTTCAATATGCAGATAGAGAAACTGAGGTGCAGACAAGTCAAGTAACCTAACCTATGTTAAGTAGTATAGAGTAGAGGTAACATTTGAACCCAGATATTATGGCCTCTAACCCAAGGAGGGCCTTCTCACTACACCCTGTGAGCACTTTAAGACTGACAGTTTGGCTCCCAAACAGCCCTAGGAGGAAGGTGGTATTCCAGGTAAACACAAGTTAAGTAAGAGGGGTAAGTGAGCTGTCCTTGGTCACACAGCTGGTAAACATCAGAGCCCAGATCCACTCCCAGGTCTCCTCTGACTATAAAGACGAACTTAGCCTCTTCAGAGGTTGCTCAGCTATGGGGTTGGACGTTGACCTTTGGCTCAGGGTTGTGGACTAATGGTCCTGAGCTGCTACTTTGTCCTCTGCCCTTGGCTCAGGGAAGACTCCTCTGGCCAGGTCTGCAGAGACTGTCTCTGGGATACATGTCCCTGAGACTGGTCTACTTTCTACAGGTCTTTGGTTAGTTGTCTATATATGGGCCAGAATCCCCCAAGCTCCCTCTCCTCCAATAGGCCTCAATAGATCCCATATCTCACCTGTAATCAGGGTCCCCTTCCAAAGGCCACATCCACCGTGGGCTGCTTTCATCGGTCTGTGCTGCCCACCATATGTGACCCTCTCTCCTTGCCAGGAATCTCTGCCTTCCCCTCCTGCACTGTCTTCCATGCACAGAGCTCAAGTCCAGACCCTGGAGGTGTCTCTGCTGGTGCCTAGGTTCAGGGCTATCTCCTCCTTCAATAGGGGACCGAGGCTTCTCTCTTCTTCTCTTTGCCAGGGTCACATGGGCCCCACAGGTCAGAGATTTTGTCTCTGACTCTCCTCCTTCTACTCTCTTCCTTTTCCCTCCCCTCCCAGCTACTGTGATTTCCTGCCTGCTAGTCCTCCTTACTCTTTCCTCCCTTCCCTGCACAAATCCCTCCCACTGTCCCCAAGGGGCACAGGGGTCACTTGGTGTTAGCCACTGTCCACTACTAGTGTCACTTGACTCCCTTTCCCAGAGTAGGAAGGTTCTGGACCTCAGAATGAGCACAGAGAGCGGGGGAGTGGCAACATGCTTGGATCCCTAACTGGGGCTTATGCTGGAACATAGACTGTTGTGATCCTCTCCCTTACCAGTCTAGACCAGGATGTCAGAGTCCTCATTCAGGCACAGTTCAACAGGACTCTGGTGGCATAGAAGGTATGAAGGAAATCAGAACTGCCCTCATTTGTAGTACCATGATGTATAGACATATAAAGGCATCTCCCCCCTTATTTTGGTGGCTTAATGGACAGAGCACTGGCCCCAGGTCCAAGATGACTAGATGGCAATTAGGCCCCTTGGACGGAGGGTGCTGGGGGCTGAAACTGAGAAGGCCAAGAATGGGGCTGAGTCTGAAGGAGGGGCAGTAGGGTGTAGGATAGGGGAGAAGGTCTCTGAACTCAAGGGGCCATTTGACACCATCAATCAAAGCACTTACAAAGCACTTCCTAAGTGTCAGGCATTCTACTAAGCACCAGGGATGCAAAGAAAGGTAAAAGTCCCTATTCACGAGGAGCTCCCATTCTAACAGAGGAGACAACATGGAAACAACAATGTATAAAAAGATAAATCCAGGAAAAAGAAAATCACAGAGAGGAAGCTGTAATATTAGGGGAGAAAGCTTATGTTGGAAGATGAGATTTTAGCTGGGACTTGAAGGAGGCCAGGAGGTGAAGAGGAGGAAGGAGAGACCAGCTCAATGGATTCCCACAAATATTAAATGTAGACACTGTGCACAGAATTGTACTGAGGACAGGGCAAAGATCAGAATTCGTATGCCTCCCCTTGGGGAGCTTCTGGACTAATAGAGAAGCAAGACTCATAAAAACACCTATTTCTCCAAAGTGACTAAAGACAACACCCATCAAACAGTTCTGTGAGTGTGCGAGGTCAGCCAGTATTTTCCCCAAGATGAAAAGGAAACTGAAACTCAGGGTGGTCAAATGACTAGTCCCTGGTCACACAGCAAGCAACTATGAACCAGGCATCCAAGTTTCAGTACATTAAGCAAAGGGCTAGAGACAAGTGAGGTTTAAATGATAAGAAATGGAATTCTGGGATCAAGGGACCAGATACAATGACACCCACTCCTCCTCATTCAGGGAAGATGAAATCATAAGATCTTTGGATTTAGCAACTTTAGAGATGATCTGGTCCTACAAACTCCTTTAACAACAGGAGAAAGAGTCTCAAAGACAGGAGTGACCTGCCCAGAGTCATGCAGGGAGGAAACAGAAAAGCTGGGATTCTGGCCCCAAATGGAGTGCTCTACCTTCCTCTGCCTCAGGCGCAGCTCAGGTTCAGCTATGAACATGTGTACATCTGGAAGAGAACACAGCCCCTTGCTTCATCTATCTAGAAGGTTTCAATGGGGTGACCTGGTGGGACAGGGCTTTAGGGCAAAGAGCTCTGGGGCCATGTGTTACAACATCATTATGTATAAATTTGTGGTGAACTCTTCTCTTTCCTCTTCCCTCAGCGGTGTGAGGCTAAGCCTAGATCCCTGTATATTTCCTAATCTCTCTAGCAAGCTGAGGTCCATTTCCTAAGAGCTTTGCCCATTGCCCCTCTGGCCAACGGGTGGAAGGCAAATTTCATCAACCACCTTTTGAAGTCATGATTGGCCCTTCAATGGCCAATGTTCTGAGGCTTTCTGGATTTCTTCACCTCTACATTATTGTTGTGGCCATTGTATGAATTGGTCTCTTTGTTGTGGTCCATACTCGAGATCATGATGTCTACAGTCAAAAATTCTTGGATTCACAGAATCTTAGAAGCATAAGACCATGATTCTTAGACTCTGGGAATCTCAACATCTTAGGATTATCCAAATACGATGAATCACCTACACCTTAGTTCAACAGAAAAAGAAAAACAAGACCAGAAGATATGAAGATGTTGAAAATATTGAAGCACTTGGGGATCAACAGAGTATGCACACAAATTTATTTCATAGGGTATTTTGACTTCTAACCAGCTCGGGCACACACAGCTCTGGCTTCTTTCATTCCTCTCAGTCCTTTCTTGGAGGTCTGGGTGCCCCTGGTTCCCTGGAAGCCTTCCTTCTCCCCAGTCTAGCCCCTTTCCCTCTCTCTTGGTTGGTTTTCCCCATTAAACCAGATGTCTCAGCTTTCTCCCCTGAGAGATGCCTCTGAACCCTCTTTAATGAAGGGAAACAGAAGGGCTATCACAACATCCTTAGGGACTTTTCCCTCTTTCTTGGGCTTGAGGGTTCTTCCAAGGAATTATCTTGTCATAAACATCCACTTTGGTGATGTCCAGCATCTGGGGATAGAGAGAAGAGAGGTCACTGGCATGCCAGAATACAGGTTGGGACTAGGAGGACTCTTCCCTCTCTAAACCCTGTCTCCACTTCCCTCCACCCTGGCCCTGTTCCTGTTCCTGCTCTTATCAGCAACAAGAAGTCCATCCTCCACCAGCATTTTGACCCCTCCCTTGGCCCCTTAGGGAGGCCTGGCCCCTCCCTGTGCACATACCTGATACGGACTCTCTGATGGGACTTCAGGAAAAGCAGGGGAGGAGCCCAGGCCCTGTGGAGAGGAAAGCAACTAGTAAAAGCCTCCAAAAGCCAGAGTTGGAAAAGAATTTAGGACAGAGAATGCTTCATGAAGAAGGAACCTTATGACATGTGGCAATCAGAAGGGATCTTAGAGACATCATAGTCATGAGGAGAGTGCTGGGGGCTGAAGTTGAGAAGGCCAGGAATAGGGCCAACTCTGAAGGAGTGGCAGTAGGATGTAGGGTAGTGGAGAAGGTCTCTGAACTCAAGGGGCCATTTGACACGACATAGTCATGCATCCCCTGAGTTAGAAGGGAGCTCAGAGAAGATCTAGTCTGAGCCAGACTCAAACATCAGTGCCCTCTACAGCTCATGTGACAAGTGGTCATCCAGCCTTTCTTGGAGACTCCCAGTGTGGAAGAGGTTGCTGTGTCCCAGATAGCCCATTCCATCTGCATCCATTCAACAAGACTTACTTAGCTTCCAGTATGTGCCAGACATTGTGCTCATTCTTTTCCTGCCTGGAACTCCTGCTATAAAAAACCTCTATGTCCTGAGTGGTGGTGGCTTCAGCATTAGCCCACCAACCAAGCCCTAGCTCTAGCCATGAGACACTTCCTTCCCAGCCTGCTTCTCACCAGCTGCCATGATTGATCCACAAAACAAGCCCTCCAGTCCTTGACCCTTTCCTTCCTGGAACTCCCAGCCTGACACCCCCCATCCTAACCCTCCTTTCTCTCCTCTCCAATTCTGGAACCATAATCACATCAACTCTGCCCTGACTTCTGATTCCATTTACCATCCCTGTTACTTCCCAAAGCAAAATATCCCTATCTGGACAGCTTTCTCAATACATGGAATCTCCTGCAATTTCAACATAATCTCATTGTGGACAATGAGCACTTCTACATGTGTTAGTAAATTCTTCACTTAGCAGAGTGCTTGTCACACCATAAGCACCAAATATGATATGAATATCAATCATTCAATAAATGAATGCTTTTTCATTCCTCCATTCCTTTATTCATGGAATAAACAGAAAAGACTGAGACAGTCCTATAGTCAAGGAGCTAATACTCTTTTGGGAGGAAACCATTAGTAAACAGATAATCAGATACCAAACATATAGAGAAGGATGACCAGAGGGAGGGCAAAAGCAATGGGAAGGAGCAGGGCAGAGTCCTATTGGAAATAGAGGTGAATTAGGCAGGAGGGTCAGGATTCCATGAGAGGGCAGTGAGGAGGGAGCACCTTCCAAGTCTAGGATATCACTGAACTGAGGCCCAAAGAGGACAGGTGGTAGGTGGTATCCTTGGAACAATAGAGGAGTTAATTAGATTGAACCTTTGAGTTCAGGAAAGACAATAAGGTGTAATAAACCTGGAAACACTGACCTGCACAAATGGGTGAAACTCTTTAAGAAGCAGGGGGTAGTGGGTAAAGACTTGACCTGGAAGTCAGAAGGAGCTGATTTCAAGTCTGGCCTCTGACACAAACTGACCTTAAGAATCTGGGCAAATCTTTTAAAGTTTCAATGGCTAGCAGAACTCTAAGACTACAGGCTGCACATCAGTCTTGACAATGGGAGTTCCCCCACACCTAAGAAACCAGTGACTGGGCCCAAACACACAAGGGGTGATTAGGGAGCCATTGAGCCTACTTGATATCTGAAAGGGACTTAGTCAAACCTGTGACTTAGGTACATATTTGCCAGTTGTGTGGAGGAGAGGGGAGACACTGGAGCTTTGGGGACACCAAGGAAGAAGCTGTTACAGTAGTCCAAGGCTGAGTTGATGTTGTCTTGAACTAGACGATTGTCATGTTTGAGAGGAGACATGGGGGATGGTGGGGAAAGAACACTTGGCATCTCATTTCTGGGAAGATTTCCTGACATCAAACCTCATTTGACCCCCACAAATTCCATTCATTGTTCTCTATTGTGCCCTTTGGGGCCAAGGCGGGTAAATCAAATCCCTCCCCCACATGACCTCCCTCCAGAGACAGCTATCAGGTCCTCACCTACCACCACTTCCCCTCCCAAAGTCTTCTATTTTGCAAGCTGGCCCCAACCAGATCTCTTCACAAAATCCTAGGGAATGCTCACCCTTCTTTTTATCTCTCAGACACTCTCCAGCTCATCAGGGTGCTCTAGTGATCCTGCCATCTCTCAGGTACATTAAAAGCCTAAGGCTCAGGGTCAGGAAGCATCTCCAGATCTACACAAAGGGGCCCCTTCCCACACCCTGACAGACACCCCAAAGTCCTGGAAGTGACTGAAAGAGACCTTCTGTCCCTACCTGTGGAGACAGAGTTGAGCCTTTTAGGCAGTGTTTTCATACAGGTGGTAGCCTCGCCTGGAGGGAGAGAAACCCAGACAGATTTCCTTGGTGTATCTTGGGCCTGAATTCCATGAGTTACTGACTCTTCCTCTTTCCCACCCCTACTCACTCAGCAAACAGATGATGAGGACACAGGTGAATTCCTTCCCCCACAGAGTCAATAAGTCCATAAGCACTCATTTAGTGCCTATTAGTGGCAGGTGCTGTGCTAAGCTTTGGGGATTCAAAGAAAAGTAAAAGACAATCCCTGCCCTCAAGGAGATTGTACTCTAAAGGATGAAACCACTTGCATACTGTGTGCAAACAAGATATAGACAGGATAAATAGGAGAGATAATCAACAGAGGGAAGGCACAATGTGGAAGGGGTGACATTATCTGGCACTGGAAGAAAGCTGGGGAAACCAGGAGGTGAAGATGAAGAGGGGGAACCTTCTAGACATGGAGGACAGCCTGAGAAAATACCCAGTGAAGGAATTCCAGTGTCTCTTTCCTCTAGGGTTCTTAGATTCTGGGACACTATGATTTCATGATGGCATCTACACACTCACATTTCTTAAGACTTCCAGGACTTTGGTTCTAAGAGCTGGCCCTCTAAAGTGTGGCTCTAGATGGACCCTATTTCATCACCTCCACTCATCTCTGAATCTGCCTTGATGGAGAAAACAGAGAAGTTCCAGGAGAATGTAAGCTCAATGAGGGCAAGGAATGTGTCATTTGGGGGGGTTTTTCTTTTTCTTTTTTCATTGTATTTGAATTTATATTAAACTTTAATACAAAATAGGAAAAGAAAAAAATAACATTGCCATGTACACAGAAGAACATAAGAGGGGATTCGATATTAAGCAATCAATTTCCATCTCAAGAAAATCTATATAATAAATATTACACATTATTTTCAAAGCTATTCATCTTTGCTTCCTTGTGTATTTTCTTTTGTCCTCTGCTTTGCACTTTTTACTTTTTTCCCTTCCCCCCAAGAAGGCTACAATTAAATGTAGTTATACATACATACATACACACATACATACATACATATAAATACATGTGTACATGTACACATGCATATACATAGATATCCATATGCAGACACATATACACACTCAAACACATATATGTAAGACTGCATTATGCTTATCATCTTGTCATCTCTTTCTCTGTAAGTGAATACCATCTTCCTTCATAAGTCCAAGTCTTTCCATATTTTTCTAAGTCCACCAGCTCATCATTTCCTACACCACAACAATATTCTGACCCAATCACATTTTATCTGAGACATTATCTATAAGAGGTTTTTTCCCCAATTTTTCTGCATTTTCCTCTATTCTTGGCTACATAGGTTTTATTTAAACAGGAAATTTTTAATTTAAAGAAATCAAAATTATCCATTTTGCACTTCAACATTGTTCTCACCTTATGATATGGTTTAAGGTCTCTTGCTACTGAATCTAGTTCCTTCATATCTTTTTCCTCTGGTTTCCTTGAAATTTCTGATCCTCTGCTCTTTCAAGTGAACCCTGTTATTATTTTTTCTGACTCAGTAGGATAACTTTTTAGTAATTTATTTGGAATGGTATTACATAGATAGATTAGTTAGGTAAAATTGTTATTTTTCATTATATTAGCTTTACCTATTCATACACAATAAATATTACTTTAATTCTTTAGATCTAACTTTGTATAAAAGGTGTTTTGTGTTTATGTTCATATAGTTCCAATGTCTGTTTTGGCAGGTGTACTCTCATTTTTTTTTATATCTAGTTATTTTATATGGTCTAAAACTATTGATTAATATGGCTGATGCATAGTGGTTTCCCTATTTTTCTCTTTTGATTAAATCTGATTTTAGTTTTAACTTTGTCTGAGATCATGATTACTATCCCTGCTTTTTTACATAATAAATTCTACTCCTGACCTTTATTTTATTTTTGTGTGTATTTCTCATTTTTATAGCATTTCCTAAAAGCAAAATATTGTTGAATTCAAATTTTTAATCTGCTTTCAGTTTCCATTTTATGGGTAAATTCATTCCATTCACATTCTAGACTATAATTACTTGTTGCATATTTTTCTTCTTCCTATTTTCCTCACTATCCTTCTCACCCCTCTGACTCATTAGGAAGGAAGACACCATCCACATTCAAGGAAACAGATGATAGGAGGCAATAAGCATAGTACAGTCTTCCATATATATGTATGAGTGTATATGTGTATTGTGAAGGGAACTACAATTTTCATAATAATCAATATGATATGTGTAATAAATATGCCAACAGGTTAGATTTTTCAAAATTGCCTCTCTTGTGAGCCAGACTTACAATGCAGGTTGAAATGATCAATAAAATCCTCGACAACATTGCCACAATTACTCGCATTCTTTATTGTTCCTGTGTACCTTATGTGAAAAAAGATTGTAGAACCTGTTCCCATCACAGAATTCTGGTTCTGTTTCTTGGGGGTGGTCACGTACCCCCAAATTTGCAAAGAATTGTTGCATTGTGGGGTTTGTTGGTTTGTCATGGGAAACCACTCAGATCCGGGGAAGCGATTGTTTGTAATCCACCTTTCCCCCTCCCTTCCCATTGATTTATGTTTATAATCTCTGTCTTCACTTCAGCAAAGTAGAATTCGGACATGGAGAATTCCTGATTTGCAAATCTGTCCCTCATACTTTGTCTCTGGCCTGCTGTTTGT